ACGTGTGGCAAAGGGAAATGGCTGTTAGTCATGTAATAAATGATTTTGCTTAGTATCCAAGTTACTAAATTGGATTCCTGAGGCTAGCTTAGTTGTTGTTACCTTGTTTTACTTGAAAAAAAGCCCTGTATAAAGACTTGTTAACATTGCCATTGCAATTCCATGGTAATATTTATTACCTGAAGGGCACAACCACGTAATACAAGCAGCTACGCTTCAGGCAGGAGCTGGGGTGAACACTTCTTTCTGGTTGTTTTACTCCCAGACAATGCTGAAGAACTTCTAAGGTAGTTGAAAACTGCGTATTTCTTCCATTGATTTATATTTACCTATTTATTTTGCCATGACTGTGCTGACACGAGATGGTAGAGAAACAAGTAAACATAAAGTAAAAATTGCTGGGGAATGTTTATTGTTCCCCTTGAGGTGAATTAAGCACATCTGTGCTTAATTACAGAGAGATTTAGTGAACAGTGCATTGGACATCCCACCACCATAAGCAATTCCATGAGGGGTCGGCAAAGGTACAACATGAGCCATGTCTCTATGTGCACTTGTGTGAGCACTGATCCTCTGAGTGTTGGCACACACATGATGTGACAGTTACTGCAGCATTTCTTACTGGCAAGGGAGAGTTTTCTCCCTTAGATGGAGTCATTCTGTTTCTGGTCCTTGCTGCCACACAGCTTAACCCATTTGGCAGTTAGGCCTTCTTGCCCTCCATGCCAGATCATTCCTTAGTCACAAATTACCACTACTGAGTAATAGTTACAGTTTGAATTCCCCTTTAAAATACTTCAGCTGTAATCACACTACTGCTGCAATTTCCCTTTTCCTGTCTAAGGCAGCTGAAGATCTGTGTCTTTCCATAGAAATAAAAATTATTTTCAATAAAAATTGCAAGCATTCTTATAAAAGAAGATCTTTTTTCTCTCTAAACAGCTAGTAAAGTAGGCATATCCAGGTTTTGCCCCGGAATAAATCATTCTGTTCTGCATGTCTACCCAGTCTGCTTCCATATAAGTTAGTTTATATTAGCTATTAATACAGCCCCACCAGCCAATCAGTTGTTGACTCAAGTTATGTAGCAGCCTTCGGTACATAAATATAGGCCTACCAGAAATCTGGAGAGAGACTTTTTACAATGGCATGGAGTGACAGGACAAGGCAGAATGGCTTTAAAGTGACAGAGGGGAGATTTACATTGGCTATAAGGAAGAAGTTCTTCCCTGTGAGGGTGCTGAGGCGCTGGCACAGGGTGCCCAGAGAAGCTGTGGCTGCCCCATCCCTGGCAGTGCTTAAGGCCAGGTTGGACACAGGGGCTTGGAGCAACCTGCTCTAGTGGAAGGTGTCCCTGCCCGGGGCAGGGGTTGGAGCTGGATGAGCTTTAAGGTCCCTTCCAACCCAAACCATTCTATGACTCTGTATCTACCTACAATTTCAGACACCTGCTGTGGTAGATTTAAGGTTGATGTGATGAAATACTGGGTTGGTCTCACAACAGTGCACACAATTGCTGTGTTGATTTTGCCTCACTAGAAAGTGAAAGAGAGAATCTTAACAGAGGAAGTTTACCCGAAAACTCCCCAAAATTATCAGCTATCGTTCTGCCAGTTAATAAACATGACTATTGAGAGGCTGAGATGGTATAAACGTCATTTGAAAAATGTATCATTTAAGTCAAAGTTGCTTGTGTGAGAAAAATGAGTGAACGAAACAGAAGGCAAATTGATTTGCCATACAGGAAACTTACAAGTCACAGGATTTCCCACAGGCTGTCAAAAGTGCTAATAGAACTGTAGAGGAAGCAGATGTTGGGGAGTGAGCAAGTTTGCAAGGTCTCTCATATCAGTGGAAGCGTCAAGCACAACTGGAGCACTGGAAAGCATGAAGTGCTAAACAAAGAGGCTTGAAACTGTGAGTAAACATGCTATCGTTTGATTCCTCTTATGTTAAGGAGGGCATGATTTTATGTGTTCTGGTAAAATACCGAGACTGCACATAGCAAACATGAACTCTGTTGTTTACTCTTTACATAACGACTGAAAAACGTTGAGGTGTTATCTAACTATTCTAGGTAAAATGGGTGTCAGAATTCTAAAGTTTCACTAAAAGCAAGGCTTTTATTTTTATGTGCGAATAAGTTTCTTGAACTGTGTTGATATAACATATCTTACAGTAAAAAGTCGTCTTCCAGTTTCTTCTCTTTCCTGTAAGTGGTATTAACATGAGCAGGCAGAGAAGGTCCAGAGTCACTGAAGTAGTTTAAAACTCTTCTTCTAAAGAGGAGGGATATTTTTCTGTTTCAGAGCACACAAATATTTCATTCGGTAACGGAGACCACAGTGATATCAGGCACAGTGAAACAGGGGTCGTTTGCTCAGCTTTGGGATATTGTCTTACATGAAATGAGGCTTTGCCAACATGTTCATTCGAGCAGAGGATAGTACAAAGCAGTACAATAAGTACCTCTTTAAACTTCAGATTTATAATCCTTTATCAGAATGACAGTGGCTAATTCTGCTTAGAAATTATTTCTCTGAAAATAGTTGAAATGATGCATTTTTTAAATGAATGTAAACAACAGAAACTCAGCATTTTTAGTCCCCTGGTTCAGTGGACATCAGCTAAAGGTTGCAGCTTGTGGATTCCAAAATCGTATTTCATATTTAGGAACTGATGCCTTTTCTTGGAAAATTTCCTTTTGAGCAGGTCAAGACAAAAACCAGAAATAGGATGAATGTTAGCAACCACTCCTCTCTTCGAGGAGAAAACACTAGATTATTGTAATAAGTAACTGAATGGGGAAATTTTGCTTCAGCTAACAATTAATTTGTTTAATGTTCGTAAGTTTGGCAATATCAATGTGCATTAGGTTACAGTGGTTTATGTGGGTATGTAAGCAAATCAAGAGCCTAGGGAGGGGAGTAGTCTCTGATAATCTAGTCTAGCTTGTCCTGAGTGTAATACAAGCATAACACTTGCTAAAGCAACAGAAGGAAGCCATTGATAAGGGCCAGCTGCAGTTACAGAAGCAACTAATTGTGCCAAAGGTGGCAAGAGCATCATGAGGAAGACTTCTTACTTCATCCCAGAGACCCCAGCCCAGGACCACCAGAGAGCAATGCGCAAGCACCGAAGGGAGGAGACTTAGGATAATGAGTTCCTGGAACTAATTGTAATAGAGGCCGCCTATCCTTGGAAAAACTATGAATATGTAACAATATGGGAGATAAAAACGAGCCTTTTGGAGAGCCAGAGCGGAGCCACAGAGGAGGAATCCCCTGTGAAGCTCCCAGCGCTGTAAATAAAATATTCTTTGCTCCACAGACTTTGTCCCTGGCTAAAACTGATGAAGTGAGCTTGTTTCTCACAATTATTTAAACAGAGTATGTAGATCTCTATGTGCCTCTATCGTTTTTATAGCCTGCTTCGTGTAAAAGGCACTTACTTGTTTGTTGATTGTCCCTGTCTTGTGAAGTTTTACTCGGTCACCATTCATGCCCTGGGAGGCCTCTGGTTTCCAGTAAGAAACTTACTTTTTTCCAGATCAAATGCTTCCTAATACTTTTGGCATGCTAAAACTACTCATTGTTAGTCTAAAAATAAGCTCTTAGGATGAATTTGCCTTGCCTGAAATACAATATTCATGAAGAGAAACAATATCAATAGGTTGTTTGCACATAGTTGAAACAGATTGTTTCACATAGAAGATGTGAGATGCAAGGGAACATTGGAGTGAACTTCCTACTTATGTAACTTACATGTTACTTACATGTAACTTACCCTAAGATGGAGACTTCTGTGCAGACGCATATACAGGAATTGCTGTCTTTTTTATATCAGCTGGAAAGTAGTACTTGCCATGAGTGGATTTTAAGGTTAGGTCTTTATTGCAGGAAGAGACTACTGGTTTTCTAATATTCCTTAATTCTTAAAAATGCAATTTTTAGGTATATTTCCCAAGCCTGATTTAACAGGAAATTAATTTTTCAGGTGTATTTCTGCCTGGCGTAAGACTGACAGTTGAAAACAAAGTGCAAACAAAACAGTGTAATGATGTTTGCACTTAGCATCTGTATCAAACCCCCCCAAACAACTGAATGCTGTATTTCTGTAAATAGATGTGACAGACATTAAGGATGAGGAACTTTATTAGTGCTTTGTTTTATCTCACCCGTTCATAAATTTGTCCCATCTCTTACGCAGTAAATCATCCTCCCCAGAAAAGTTTATATCAGGATGCTGTGATTATCTCTACCTTCCTCAGTCACTTTGAGTCCTACTGAAAACAGCGGTGGATTTAGAACTGTGATCTGAGACTTGGCATCTTTACTGGCAAAAGCAATTTACATTTAAGGTAATCTCAGCCCTCTGAAGAAGTGAAAAGGTCATTGATTTCAAACCTCTTTTATTAGATAATGTTGACTACCATAAGATCCTGCTAGGCTCTGGAAACATTTCCTTTGTTACTTAACAATCAGGAAACCGAGAGGCTGTGACAGTACAAGAAAAGGCAGTTTGAATTTCTGTTCATAGCACCTTTAGTTAGGAAGAAGAGGGGAAAGGATAACTCTACAGTTTTACAAGCTTCTTGGAATACCAGAAGATAGAGATTGTGGGTTTTCACAAACATGAAATTTCTTCCAGGCCTTAAAGTGATTCAAATTACACTGTATTACCATTATTATATACTAAACCAGCTGAAACTGTTGCAGTGGGCTCAAAGGTAGAGTAAAATATAATAAAGTTTGGAAGGAGGAGGTATAAGAGAATCTCTCATTTTTTTCCAAGCCTGTATGAAAAGTCAGATTTTCATACTGAAGTCTGAAGTGTCAAAACAGTAACTACTCAGTTTAACAGAACATAGTTGAATACAAAACATTTCTTCTTTTTTGGCACGTCTCTGAAAATGGGGGGGTTTGTGTGTTTGTTTTAGGGAAAGTGAACAGAAGACTGACTGTAAAGACCTGTGAAGTTCCAGATCGTGAAATTCAGCAATGATACACTGCGGAAAGAAACGTATTTGTGCTGTTGTCACATGTATTCTTATTTTTGCAACTGCTTTAATCTGTTCCTGGAAAGATCCTCAGCTGCCGAATAACATAACTAGAAAAATCTTCCCCCAGGCAACAACTGCCAGTCCAGCAGGTCAGCTTTGTAGGGGAAAACCTGCCCAAGATGTTATAACACCATTATCAGATAACAGAACTTTTATTATATCCCCGTACTTTGACAACAGAGAAAGCAAAGTCACCCGTGTGATTGGGATTGTTCACCACGAAGATGTAAAACAGCTCTTCTGCTGGTTCTGCTGTCAGCCCCATGGAAGGATCTATGTATCAAAAGCAACAATCGATGTTCACTCAGATAGATTTGGGTTCCCTTACGGAGCAGCAGATATAGTTTGTGTGGAACCCGAAAACTGCGACCCAACGCATGTATCCATTCACCAGTCTCCACTTGGAAACATTGACCAGCTGCCGAGCTTTGAAATCAGAAACCGCAAGGCTGAGCCCTTCCCTGTTGACTTCACCGTGTGCATCTCTGCCATGTTTGGCCACTACAACAATGTCTTGCAGTTTATACAGAGCATGGAGATGTACAAGATTCTTGGGGTACAGAAAGTGGTGATCTATAAGAACAACTGCAGCCACCTGATGGAGAAAGTCTTGAGGTTTTATATGGAAGAAGGAACTGTAGAGATAATTCCCTGGCCAATAAACTTGCACCTCAAGGTTTCTTCTAAATGGCACTTTTCTATGGATGAAAAAGACATTGGCTACTATGGACAAATCACAGCTCTAAATGACTGTATATACCGGAACATGCAGAGGAGCAAGTTTGTGGTTCTTAATGATGCTGATGAAATAATTCTTCCCCTTAAGCACCCGGACTGGAAAACCATGATGAGCAGTCTGCAGGAGCAGAACCCAGGGACTGCCGTTTTCCTCTTTGAGAACCATATCTTCCCAGAATCCGTGTCTACTCCCACATTCAACATCTCATCCTGGAATACTGTGCCAGGTGTTAACATATTAAACCATGTTCACAGGGAGCCCGATAGGAAAGAAGTTTTCAATCTTAGGAAGATGATAGTTGATCCACGAAAAGTGATTCAGACGTCAGTCCACTCTGTCCTACACGCTTATGGGAACAGTGTGAATGTTCCCATGGATGTTGCCCTCATTTATCACTGTCGGATGCCCCTTCAAGGAAACCTTCCCAGAGAATCCCTCATCAGGGATACGACACTGTGGAGATACAACTCGTCATTAATCATGAATGTTAACAAGGTGCTATATCAAACTGTACTGGAAGCTCAAAAGCGAAAGCCCAGTTAGAAGGAGGGAGAGCGAAGAGTTACTTGTGGGGAGGCAGAGGAGAGAATTTCAAAATCATAAAATGAAATTCACTTCCATGTGAAGTTTACATCTTACAGAGCTTTAGGAGAACATCCCTTCTACGTACTGTACAAAGGTAAATGCATTTGATTTGTGAGCTGAATCAAGGTATCCAGGGAAGAGATTTTCAAAACTGGAAAAAATAGTTTGATCCAAGATGGATGGTTGAGGCCTCAGCCCACTAGTTTTCAGTCCATTTTTCTGGGGATGTTTCCACATGGTTGGGAAGGGCCTGATAACATTGTTGTTACATGCCTTTGCAGGAAATCAGTGTGACAAACCTCTTAGCAGGGATACATCCTTCTGGAGATACACATCTTTGGCTCTGAAACTTAACTGTGTTGGGTTGCTACAACTTTTAAGTGCAGTAAAGAAATTTAAAGGTGTTGCAATAGGCATTTAATGCCATGTTCTCCCCAACAATAAATGCACTGTGTATTTAAGATCATCTAGTACTTGCAGGAAGAAAGGTCTGTAACATAGGGCCACCACCAGAAAAGATCCCATCCTCATATAGGGTCTCATATGAGTGTATTTCGTTGTAGGAATGATTCAATTACCAGTTGCTGTCTCTAAAAAGTAAAAGTACTGGTGTGAACGACTGGGTTTATCATCTTTAACTGTCAAAATTTCCTTTGCTTTTGTAAAAGTGATTTGCAGTTGGAGCTCACTTCTGCTGGGCTCCAGTCCGGAGCCCTCCTCCGAGGCACAGCCTCTCCCTGCGCTCCCTAT